AACATCCCCTACACATTATTAAAAGGCGACTAATCTTTTCTGCAGAATTTAAGAGCGCATTTGCCTTCCACTCAAAGCTCTGAGTGGAAGGGCACTATTTTCTAAATAAGCACATCAACATTCAGCCTTAAAGAGCAGAACTAATTTCTAGGAGTCTGTTTTCCTTTGTCTCTAATGACATCAAAAAAAGGGAGAGAAAGAACACGAGATCTTCACCTAAGAGATGAACAGACACAGCACAGAGCAGTTGAAAATTGTGGAGCAGACTTGGTTTTCCTCCAGATAAGCAGACAGAAACAAGGCAAAACAAGGAGCTGGAGGTGCAGAAACAATGTTAATTTTCTAACCCAGTGGGTCTCAGTGTTCTGAGAGAGCCCAAGCACGTAAGAGGGAAAGCAGACCTTCAGTAATTCCTGTCATAGAGACAGGAAGATCCTAACTTGAAGATCTGAAACTCGTACAAACCACTCAATTTCTTCTAATGGTGGTAGGCTGTCAAACCAGTCTGAAAAATGACTGAATCTCTAGAACTCCTTCCTGCGGTTTATTCAGCTTCAGACATTTCAACCTGCATGAAAAATGACAAAAACCTCAAGAGCTGGCTTTCAGAGGCCGAATTCCTTTAAGGTATTTCACTGTTGAGTCATTAACGATCAATACAGTATGTACTACACTACCAACGTATGTACTAAGCCTACTCAGTTTGCTTTGGAAGCCTTGGAAACCAAAATACAGAAACAAAAAATCCTACACCTTACCGGCTGAGGCAGAGGTATTGTCTTCAAGTCATATCTACTATTGAATGTGAGGGGTTTTAACTCAGATACGTGACCGTTTGTAGCCTTATCGAACTGCCACATCACCCGTGTTTCCTGCAACCAGACAAAACGTGGTCTGTTCCACCCTCCAGCGTTCAAAACGATGCAACCCTGGCAGCTGGTGGCATCACTAGCAGCCATAATAGTTATTTTTGCAATACTAAGTTTTAAACCTTCACAGCAGCATGAAACAACCCACTCCTGCAAAATCCAATGGGTATTTTGAGGGTACAGATGCACAAGCCATGTCCTTTTAGAATCTACGTTTGAAGGTCACCTAAGTGAAAAGACAAGGCAAAACTGCACAAAATGGTGAAAAAGAAACAACCCACAACATCACTACACTGCAGAGGTGCACTTCTCTCTATAGTTACCAGGCTCACGGAGTAAATCCTATGACAAAGGCCAAGAAACTGTTCCTCTCCTTGTGCCTCTACCACAAGAGCATGGGATAAATCAGGTTGGGTGGGATCACGGGAGTCTCCACTCCAACCTCCTGCTCCAAGGAAGATCAGCTATGAAGTCCAATCAAAACAATCAGGTTATCCAGCCCGGTCTTAGCTTCCAAGGATGGAGGCTGAGCAGCCTCCCAGGGTCATCTCTTCTACTGCTTGACCATCCTTAAGGCAAAAAAAACTACAACCCAACCTACCCCTGTATCCGGTCTGAGCATCTTGTTCCACTTCTCACTTCTGTCTTTTGGCACCAGCCTGGCTCTGTCCCTTCAATGACCTCCTCGCAAACCCTGGTAAACTCCAAATGTGACTCTCTGGAGCGTTCTCTTCTCTAGGAGGAACAAGCCCAGTTGCTTCAGCCTCTCCTCACAGGTCACCAACCATCTTGGCAACTCAAATTATCTTTAGATTTTACCAGGAGCCCAGGCTCCATGTCATGGAAACAACTTTGGAGTCCTCATCAGCCCTGCTGCAGCCAGGTTATTACACAGTGAATTGATTTTTCATGCTAAGGACTACACTGTTTCAAACACTTCCTTTTTAAATTTACTCCAAATGATATTTAAAAGTGCAATAGTGCCTGACTACATGGAAACCAGTATGAGAAGCAGAAGAAGAAATATTGAGAAACTTCCAGCCAACCAAGTCCTCGCTGGGATCCAAAGAAGCAACATGAAAAGGATCCAAGCTGAGAACAACTGCTCTGGCTTTAAGTCACTATAATAAACCACCTGAGAGAAAGAGCAGATCATACCTGTGGAGAGGGAGAGTGTTAAAAAGAAGAAAAGCAATTAAGTTGTTAATTCATCAAAAACATTCAACAGTAATTTATTGCCTGTGAAAGACTCATCTGAGGGTCAAGAAACATTAAGGTCAAAGTTAGGTTTAATTATGCTTACTTAGGCCACAAAAGTATCTTTTCACCTCAGTACTACTCAGTGTAACAGAATGATCATGCTAAAAAAGAAATCCACCATATTAAGAAAGATACGAGCAATTTGCAATATTATACAGTTCTAAAGGTGTTGATAACAAAATAAGACTCTTTTCCGAGAGCCACAAACAGACTGACAGCCTTGAGGGAGCCACCACCCCAGGGGTGATCTCCAGAACGACCCCAGGAGCAGCAGCAAATCGTACCTGGGTCAGGAAGGACAAGAAACACGACCTCATCATCGACACCCAGACTTCACAAGTGATGTCGTGGGGAATGAAAATGACATTGGGGGAGGGGAAAAAAAAAAAAAAGAAAAAAAGACACTTCTGCCTCATTTTCAAAACTTTGGCAAGCTGCTTTTTAGGAAGTAAAACATCTGATGTTCTCCTTCCCCTCCAAACCCTTCACCTTCTCGTCTCCTACAGCCCGAGTAAGCAGGCCCCTTCCAGACAGCGCATCCCCAGCTGCCACGGAGAGGCAGAACCCCTTTCACGTATTTGAGATCAAATACAAATTCCATACGCTGTCCTTAAAGCACAAACCTTTCGTGTTGGCAGAGCATGCATTATGGCCTTTCCCAGGCCCTGGTGGCATTAACAGAAATATGTTACCCTCTGCATTACGTAATCTTACTGTTTCAGCTCAGGTACTTCACATAAAGCAAATGCTACAAGCCAGAACTGGAAAAGTAGCTGATTTTCACATGACAGGAAGAAGAAAATCATGAGGCAGCCCAACTACTTTGAAACGTCAATAAAATATTTATAAAGGACTCCAAAGAAAGCATTAACAAAAATATTGAAGTATTTATTTCATTTACAAGATAGAACTGTCAAGTCCTCTATGGCATTCGGGGGTGAATTATTAGAACATATCAAAAAAACCCACAACAACCACAAACCAGATCACTCAGGCTAACTTTGTGTCCCCTAGTTTATCTGAATTCAATCACTACAAGGAAAAAAAAAACAACCTTGTTTATAGGGTCCCCAAACACCAAGGAGTGAGCTGCATGACAGCTTTTCCTTCCAGGCTAACAGACCTCCCTCTCCCTGGAAGGTACAGAGAAGCAAGTCGAATTACATCAAGGCAAGTAGAATTCCATCGTCAGCGCAAAAAAAACACCAGGAAGAGCACAGAAGCTACGTCAGCATCATATAAGTCTGGCAAAGGCATGATAGAATCACAGACGATCTCTTAGTTCATTTACAGAATCACAGACTTTTACTCTACTTTTACTCTAAGAGAAACTGCTTCAGTCCTCTCATCTTCTGCCCATCTGAGGCAGTTACACCCAGTGAAGTCGTCGCGATGATGAAGGGTACGCTCAGCACCTTCATAAAGCAAAAAAAGTTGTGGCTGGTGTCTAAGGAGAGAGTTTGCCAACGCGGGTGGCGCAGGCACCTCCTGAAACGGAAACGTGAAGAAAGCCGTCGAGTTTTACCCCCAAGAAAAACCTTTTCAGGGATTGCAGGGTGACCAAGTCCCTCAACACGAGGAGATCCCAGCACCTCAACAACAGCTTCAGCACCAAGTTCTATACAAACAAATTGCTCGCTGTGTTTTAACGGCAAGTTAATGAGAAAAACATTCAGGTTTACTCGACTATAGGCCTGACAGGACGCGCTGACATGCCCATGATGTGGAAGGGCCCATGTGTCACACGTGAAGTGCCAGTTTTATGATGTGACCCACCCAGAACACCAACACAGAACATCGTACCAAAGACTTCAGAGAAAACTTCTAGTCCTATTCAGTAACATGACAAAGTCATAGCAATAACAGCTGTGCCCACCACTCCAAAATGCTGGTTTTCACTAATCAACTTCCTCACAGGGCCAGTCCCGGAAGCTTCTAACACAATGTCACGAAATCCTTGTGACAAAGTCAATCAAACTTCACACAGCTGGGGAGAAGCTGTGCTCTCGTCCTCTTCATTAGTTCCACACTTACCAGCTCAACTCCCCTCCTGAGGAGGGGCAATGCCAAGACCAGGACCTGTTCCTAGGAAACTCCACATACAAATTGCTTTGGAAAGTGGCAGCTGGACCAGCTCATCCCTCACCCCGCTTCTGGGCAGCAGACAACCCCCTCAAACCAAGAACCTTCTTCTGCCAAGATGCAGCTGGCCTTCACACCACTGCAAAGGGCTGGCTGCACAGTTTCCCCAACTCACCAGGGCAAAAAAGAAAGACAAGAATGGACAAAAATCTGGGAATGACTAGAATGAAGAAAATGAAGTAGCTGTGAGAATACTGAAGGGAACGCTTGCCGCTTCGAAGACATGCACCATGTAAAGATCACCCATTAGTCTGGAGGCTTAGCGAGCACCGACAGAACGGTGACATCTCAGCGGTGACTTAACAGACTCAATCCTCAGAATCTAAAAGGTAAAGGCAACATAACGCACTACTGGAAAAGGAAAGGCCAAGGAACAAACAGAAACAAAGGGATGTCGCGGTAAAAGCGACAGGTTAAAAGAGTTTCGCATTAGTAAGATGAAAGGACACGGGCAGAACAAACCAGCACTTTGCAAGACCAGAAGAAGGTTCGTGGCAGTCACCAAACAGGAAAGAGTCTGAGCACGCTTCAGGTAAACAGACAAGAGAAGCTACTGTTCAAACACACTAAACAAAAAATAACCTGCAAGAAGGACTGAAACCTCTTTCTACATATTTACATGTACCGTGTGTCAAAGAGTAATTTGCTTCACACCTCCCAACCAACTGTGACTGAGACAACACCACTGTACAGATCAATCAAGATGACAGAATATTAAGAGCTTTGTTTTAACCACGCCTGGTTTGTGAACTCAGACATTTGGCTATCAAATACTTCAGGTAAGGGAAGATCAATATGAAGCAGAAGATCAAGTAGAAAAACTACAGAATCAACTGACTTTCAGCAGAAAGATGCCAGTTCCACAAAGTCCAAGTACTTGCACAGGTGTACCAAGAACACGCACCTCAAAAATGGAACCAGGGGAACAAAAATTAACAGCAGACAATGCAGCCAAGGATATGAGAATGAGCAGAAGAGAGAATCGTTCAGGAGCAAGCTGATCTTGCTTGATCTGATGAAAGATTGTATCACGTTCCTATTGCAAGAAGAAACAGAACGGCAAAGGATGAGGAGAACTCTGGAAAGAGATCTGAGCACAAACTATAGAGATCAGCAGGTGAGGGAAGTCGCTGGAGTCAGGGGAGTGTCTGAAGGGGGGGAAAAAAAAAAGAAAAGATCAAATGAAAAAGTCAAGATGACACACCTCCCCCTTACTTCCCCCAGATTCTGCAGAAATACAGAGGCAGGGGTAGAAACACGTGACAAGTCAGCATCGAGAGACGTCATAAACATTGGTAACATGGAATTCACTGTCGAGGTAACATTTCCTTTCCCTCAAGAATGGCACGGAGAGCGAGGGACTCGCACAACTAAGACAGCTCTTCCTAAACTTCTGGTTCTAAATGAACACAGAAAACCATCAAAATTTACTATAAGGTCATTACGACTACCGTGTGTAAATACTATTACTGAGTCTCCCACAGTCAGTCATTATACATTACACTGTTTACTCCCACTCCTGAGACCACTTATCACGCTTCTCCGGGCACTGACAGCTCATCCTGAGTTTGAGCGCCGGCAGCCCAAGA